AGACTGACGTCTTTTCATTGGTCAGCCGGTTAGCGCGGTCGATGCTAATCATAAAAGCACACACACTAGGCCTGTCCTCCATCGGCCGTTTTGCTTGTATGACGGAGAATAAGAAGGTGGAATTACTTGAAATTAGGATAGAAATAAAATTTGTGTATCTAAATCGAAAATAAACCGGCCGATGGAGGACAGGCCTAACACACACATGGACATCAATTTGAGAACAGTAATTAATTCAGGGGTCGGGCTGNGCGACGCGCGGAAAAAACTCCTAAAAGTAGATCCGTATTAAATCCGCAATAATGTATTAATGGTGGGATTGAACAAGCCATCGTCCCTCCCTGTGAGTCCCGTTTGTTGACAACAGCAGCATGCAGCCCACGCTTCCTGAAAAGGCACTCTCTCTTCTTCTTGGAGCCTCGCATCAGCAAACGGACGTGGACGATGCAGCAGCGCATCGACAAAGTTTGAAACGTGGAAGAAAACTACCTCCCGTGTCGCCACTGCTGACCAAACGTAAAGAAAACTTCCACAACACAGACGTACCCGAAAAGAAATAGATCTCCTCCGAAATACCTCTTGGCTGCAGCAGCCTCCCTCGTGCTTCCTTGGGGCAGACCAACAAGTGCCCCCAAGCCTACTCTTCTAGTCAGGTTTCAATAACTTCACGCTGACTCCATGCTGCTGCTCTCTGATTGGCCAACAGATATTTCATCTTCCGCTCCTCACCTTCCTCACACTCCTCACAACTCAGATTCCAACTGCAATCTTTGATATGTGATATTTATTTTTTTTCTTTTTCTGCTATNCTTCCTCACACTCCTCACAACTCAGATTCCAACTGCAATCTTTGATATGTGATATTTATTTTTTTTCTTTTTCTGCTATTTTTTTGTGTATGCATACAATCCTTTGCACTTGAGGCTCCTTAGTATGTCTCAGTAGAGGGGCCCCTTGAAAGAAGTGACAAATCACACCCACAAGACAGGCGCCCACACACCATAGGCAGCAGCATCCAGTGGACACCCTGCTGTTCGATAGAAGCGGCTCGGCTCTATTGTACAAGCAAGAGGCATTGGCGGGTGCCACGAAGAAGACGACCGGGTCCGGCTCTATACCGCTCAAGATCGTCCTTCGACTGCTGTGGCTTCCAAACCTCAAAGTGTGAGTGTTGCACACATGCATTCACACGCGGGCAGAAGAAACAACTTGTGGTACATGCCCAGGCGACGGGGCGTGGAAAGTTCATGAGTGTGCGAGACAGGACACACGTCGTCACCTCTGTGAAGGTCGGCGCACTGCCTGGGAAGCAAGCATGTTTGTTTGGCTCATGCCTCGTTCCGTACTCCGTGATTTGTCGTCCGTTTTTGCTGTAAATAGCACTGCGGGCATGTGTTGATCATCTCTCCGACATGCGTTTCTTTGCCGTGCAAATTTCACATAGAGTTCTAATAGTAACTCTTGCGGGAGAATTTTCCAACATCGTGATGGTTTAGGAATGATTAGTTCAAACCTTGGCCCTGCAAACAGCTTCGACATTCCTTGGAGCCTCGGAGGCCGAGCCGAGCAGATGATTTGGAGCTGCTCACAAGGTAGAGCCCAAAAGGCCGAAAGAAAGACGATTTTTTCTGAGGGATGATTTTTTTCCGATGCAACAACCTATGCATACGATGCAATGTGGTGCCACACCTCCGCTTGCATTGATCACCCGCTCTGTATCCGCCTCGGAAGCTATTTCGGAGACCGGTCACGAACACCAACAACACCAACACAACAACGATTTTGGTGATGATGACCGCAACGGGGCCTTACGGGGTTCTTGCATGCGGTGGCCCTTGGCGCGCCCAAGCAGGTTTTCTGGCTTCTGGCAGGGTTGTAGCGTCCCCGAATCCGGTCGGACCCTCCGGCCTCGCCCTCGTTCTTCAAAAGTAGAGTATCTCTCGTGTTTCATGCTCTTCGTGTTTGCGTGTGTAGAGGTACGTAGTACTGTAGGAGTTTCGGCGTTTCAAACACCATGTACATGAGCATGGTAACACGATGGAGCCACCGCATGACTTGCACTGCGAGGCGTGGTCTCACCTCTGGCCACCCTGCAGTTTGTCCTTCCCTTACAAGTACCATTTCCCACATCCTTCTAAGGTATCGAGACTTGTTGACACGTAGCGCCGAAGAGCCAGCTGCCTTCGGGATTTTGGATTGATATTGGGCGAACTTTTGCGAATCTTACTCGGATGCCATACGTATAATTCACCCTCGACCCTCACCTACCAATGGACCTACTACTGTACCATACTAGATGGATGAACACCTCCTCCATGACAGCTGAAACCTTCCCCGAAGACCGAACAGAGAGTTTGTTCGGAGTCATGTGCGAGGCAAACTGCCCACAAGCTCGACAACGACCAGATGTCGGAGAGAAGATCAAGATTATTTTCCAACCGTGTCAAAATCAAAATTGTGCTGTTGTTGTCTTATTGAACATTAAAAACCGTTGACAACAACAGCAATATGTCCGTAGTGATCCAACCCTTGACGCGGTCGATTCCCCATTCATACCGTGTATGCATACAAATATGCAGATGGATTAGTTGTTTTCCACTTTTCATTCCCTGAATCGCAGATGACCGTAGGCCTGCGTTGTAGGTTAATGCTATTGGACGAGGTACTTGAGCAGTTGACGCGTATGGGATCAATGCACAGAACTCACCGCCGGCGCTCGACACGAGAGGTTATGCGTCTATCCTTGTCCCCCCACTACTGTGAAAAGGCCGGGGGTGTAATAGTGCAGGTTACGTCGGCCATGCTTCATCCCCACATCCCCACACATGCCGACAAATTTGTGAGGGGCTCCACCATGGAGGCACAAGTGATCACGGCTTCATGTTCCATTCGAAAACAAAACAAAAAAACAAAAACAACACGCTTCTCCATCCCCCAATTCCTGTGCATGCCACATATGGTAGAGTATGAACACTTCATGGCAGGCTCTCGCCCCATTTGCACGCCGAAGCAGAAATTGTATGCTTTCTAGCCACATATTGGCACACCAACAAACTCTGAAGCTTCAACTTCAGCTTCTCAGACCAATATCCGTGGAAATTTCATTCGACTCCCCTACCCCTTGCCCAACCCGGCCTTGCCACGTCTGATCACCTGGTCGGGCCCACAGAGAGGTGTCTTCCCCCCTCCATGCAGTCGTTCACCACGAGAACAACAGCAGTAGTTCTATCCCATGTTCAGACGGGAGGAAACAAAAACGCAGATTATACGCCCTCTGCCTCCCTCCCCTCCCGTCAACCTCCTGTCCCGCTCATTTTCTGGGGAGAGGAAAGAAAGCTAGACTGGGGTCCGCTCGCATGCAAACAAAGAGCGGAGCGCGTTCTGGGTGATATCGTCTAGTCTAGGAGTAGTATTTGGCTGTGTTCGTGCGTAACCAGATGTACGTACGTACAGCAGTAGATCAGCAAGCACTCTCGGCATTGTAGTAGGATGTCCTCGCCAGAAGAGAAAAGTAGGGCATATACACAGGGGCGTGAGGAGAATGATATTTTTCATCCACTCGGTGCCGGTCGTGGACTGTTCTTTTTCGGGCGGAGCTTACGTAACTCCTTTGCGGAGAAACGTTCTCTACATGAGCCTGCGAGCGTGATAATGAGGTACACGTGCGAACACCCAGCCACGATATCGGTTCGACGAGACCCCGACCGCGTGACTTGTACCGCTGCTGACGGATGGCCGTCTGCCGGGTTGGCTCATGGCGTGCGGTAGCCCAGAGTCCACCCTCCGTAGCCACCGTCGCGGTAACCACTCCTATCGCCGCCGCGGGGAACACATGACTGCCGGTGGTCGCTCCTCTGGCCGCCGGTATTGCTTCCGATGCTGCCGCTCCCGCCACGAGAGCCTGCGGCCCGGCCGTCTCCCCCGCCTCCACCGGGGAAAAAGCCCTGCCGCCGGGGGAAAAACCCTGCCGCCGGGGGTCACCATTCTCGCCGCCGGTGCTCTGCTACCGATGATACCGCTCTAGCCGCAATTGCCCGCACCCCAGCCGTCCCGACCGCCGGCGTCGCGGGGAACACATGACTGCCGGTGGTCCCCCTCTCGCCACCGGTGCTGCTGCCGATGCTGCCGCTCCCGCCACGAGAGCCTGCTGCCCAGCCGTCTCCCCCGCCTCCGCCGGGGGAAAAACCCTGCCGCCGGGGGTCACCACTCTCGTCCCTGATATTGCTAGCGATGGTGCCGGGCCCTCTGCGAGTCCCTGCGCGCCAGCCGTGTCCCCCTGTCAGCCCATCGGGGAAAACTCTTTAAGGCATTTTTTCGAGCGATTCTTTCGCGTTTAGTTCTTTGTTGTGTCCTGTCATCGTAGGTTTTCTCCGAATTCAGTTCTCTGGCGTTGTCATCGTCGGCACCAAACATAGTTGTTTCAATGTCTTCCTCGCGGTCTGGACGCTTCATTCTTGAGTCACTTAGTGTTTGCTGTGTCTCGTGCTCGAGCTGTTGCGGCTTCCCGTAAACAATACAAAGAAAGCTTCAGACAAGTAACGCCGAAGAAACTCGTCGAGGAGTTGCACATCAATGAGAAGCACGTGTTGAAAAGCACGATGACCACTGGACAACAGAACGGGCCAGCTATTAAGGTACCGTAAGTGCGGAGAGTTGGCACGGGCCGGAGAGATGGCACCGGGGTGCGATAAAAGACCCGTGGGAAAAAATATTTTACTTGTAGCTCGATTTACGCACCGGGGTCGGTGAGATCGCACCTGGTGCGATCTCTCCGGCCCCCAAATCCAAGATTGAACCCCATATCAGCTGCCTTAATGAGGTACATGGTGCGTACCTTTGACACGTGGGGACGGAGTCAGCGGAGCGCCACTCCTTTACGTACGGTTGAATGGTCGCGGTTCACGCGGGATGCCGGTTGTTTTCATTTTTTATTGGTATATGGAAGTTGCCACCCGTACACTCATCCAAACACACAACGTACAAGCCGCACCCTACCCCACCTTACACAACCCGAAGCTTTTGTTTTTGTGGGTACGTACTGGTATCCGTAGAAGGAGACCGGCACGAAAGCGGGAACCAATTGATACCGTGTGTACTGGTACCACCTCAGATGCGCTATTTCGCCGCTTTATCGGGGTATGTTGTATGTGCATTTCAGCGCCTTTTTTTCCGGCTCAGATATGCGTGTGTGTGCACACGCCCAGGTGCATGCGTGGGTACCTACACTGGTACCAATCAATACTATATGGCGACGGTCGGGGAGATGGCACCGGGGTGTGTGCCTACAACACCTGTGGGCATTTCATCGGGGAGTGCAATACCTGTGTACTTACTTCATCGGGGATTGCAACGGTCGGAGAGATCGCACCGGGGTGCCTCGAAAATTCTAAACGAAATGATTTAATTGCATGTCCGCACCGGGGTCGGAGAGATGGCACCGGGGTGCGATAAAAACCCGAGGAAGAAGCACTAAAAGAACGATCGCACCCGGTGCCAACTCTCCGACTCTTTTCGGTAGTGTTTTTTGTCCAGAAAAAAAGCTGTAACGGTTAGGAAAAACAACAAGAAAAAGGGCTAAGAAAATCAGCTCAATCTCGGCCACGACTTACGAAACGTCCCAGTAAGAAACAGGATCCAGCGATACCCCGAGACACAAGAAACAACCGATCGCTGAGGAAGCGTGTGCAATAAGAAGCGTTCCACTGCTGCTCCCAGCTCCCACCACTACCTATGCTATGTACAATTAGCTCATCATGTAACTTGTCAGTAGGAGGGCAGGAGAGTGGTTATTTTCGCGCCCCCAGGGTCCCCGCGCTCTGCGGGCTGCGCTACCCACTGTTCTTGTACCCTGCTGTACTGCCACAAATCACGGGAGCCAGAAAGTTCAGGAGGGTGGCAACCCCAATCAATGTTCGCCACCACCGAGCTGTCGATCTAAAATGAAGCGGCTTGGTATGTTGCTGGTCTCTTCGCCAGAAATACGAAATAAGAAAACACGAGCAGCAGGACGATCAGGCAACATACAAACATAAATACACAGAAAGATGCGACAGCACAAAGGAATCAAGAAATCCGTTTTTAGAAATTGGCCGACTTCCGGCTGGTCCTTCCGCGCGAAAATAAGAAATTGAGGCTCGACCCGAACCTGACGTTTGTCATTTCCGGGCCCATTCTGTAACGGTCAGCCCGCTGCTGGTAGTCCAGCGGTCGTCGTGCTCTTCAACACCAAACACCGAGCAATTCGCCACACCGCACCGGCGGCAAATCGGATATATATCCGTGAGCTTTCCCTGCACGGCAGGGGTTTGGTTGGCCTACATTGTCCCAGCTATTTACCTTATCCTGCACGGGTCAGAACCCCGATAGTGTTCAGGTAGGTGCGCGCATTGAACACAGCCTCAACAGCAGTACTTGTGATATCAACTTTACATTAGACGGAGGTAGTTTCCTGCGTGCCATCATGCGCGCCAAGCGATTCGTGGCTTCCTCCCACCTTGAAGTATCGAGACGCGGGCACGCCTTGCCTGGATTCCTCCCACGAGACTCCCAGACATCATGCGCTTCTTTGGGCGTCGTCCGTCCGGTTGTCTGGCTGAGTCTGTTGTGAGCAGCAGTCGCTGCAGTGAGATGGTGGACGGTGGCCTGAACGCTATGGACGTCAGCCAACACACGATTTGTCCGGGTTGAGGTGCATAGGCAGGTAGTTCGAGGTTCACCGCGCAGCGCGAAAACACGCTGCCATTGAGACTCGTGTTAAGTATTATAGCCCTTCATGTTGTTGGTTGGCTGTTTGCGCTCTCATCTACCACAGCAGTCATGGTTGTTCCACGCGTACATCATGTACACTACGGCACTACAGGTAGGTTTGAGCGGTGTTCCTCATGTTCCAGTCGGTCCATGTGCTCATGTCTACGTGCGTGCGTGCCCTTGTCTTGCATTTTTACCGACCGTGCTAGCTGGCTGACAACTGCGCCCGTCTCTTTTTCAGCAGTCCATTATATTCTAGTCCGCGGACTCTCCTGGCACGGGAGGGCGTTTGAGGATGCTGGAAAGGCGAACCCAGCCTCTGTGTTGCTTTGACCAGCAGACTGCACCTATACCTCTTTGTGCCAGCACCAATTTTTTGGAGTCGATATATCTGTGTGTCACACTTGGAACACTCGGCCTGTCAGTACGGAGACACGACATGAGCGCAGATCGATGCACCCGCAAGGTGAATTTCCAACGGCTAGCCGTAGGCTCGGTGGGGAAGATTTGAGTTGATGTCATGTCGGGTCCAAGAAGGGGCGCGGATGCGCTTAATTGTGTAAACACTTCGTTTTGTTCCACCCTAGATTGATGCCAACGACAAGGGGTCGGAGGGTAAGCCACGTTTGTCACCCGTGGTACGCGACATCGCTGCGGACAGAGTACCTCTGGCCTCCGTCCGATAGTTCTGTGGTAAGGTGCAAACCGGCACCGCTCATCTAGCCCTCGGCGAGTTCGCCGTGTTCGGGTGGTACAACAGCATTGCTTGTGCTGCCTGAGCTACGTGCATGTATCTGTCTGCCTCACCTATTTGCGGGCGAGCAGCTAGGGGTGACAGAGAAGGTGGAACAGGCGCGTCAGGAGTTAATAATGCCTACACCGACCGTCTTGTACTACAGCTAGCCGCTCTTGGACTCCGCCTCATAAGCCCTGCTGCGTCATGTGGAGCGCGCGTTGCTTCGCACACGCATATTCGTCAGCAGAGGAAGGGTAGACGCGGACAAGCCGACAAGACTATGCCCTGCCCTGCCCTCCCTGCCATGTCATAGTATATGCGCCAGCGGGCACAGCTTAGGGTCAAGCCTGAGAATAGGAAATCACCCTTCCTCACAGAATCCGAAACCAACATGGGACTTTCCCCCAAAAAAGTCCTCGGCAGCGTCTTGGATACTTGTACCCTTCACCTACATATTTTCACTACATTGCCATGACAAACATTGATGGGTTCGTGAGCGCCCCTGTATCCGTGAATGGGTCTAACAGATACTTCTGCACCACCCCAAAATTTACCTTGGGGCTTATTAGGGTTTGGTAAGAGTTGTACACACTCCAATATCCTCACCCTTGAGCAGCGTGCATGACTGCCGCAGCTGCTGCTATGTGTGCGCGAGGTGGAAATGTGGAGTGTGGAATGTCCTGTTCTGTGACGCTCTAATACTCTACAGCAAAAGTGTGTACACATTTGTGAACCTACCCACTACGATATGTGGGTTCGTACTACGACCTTCGCACAATCCCGATTTTTCCTGTTGAGTTCTGTGACGCTTCCGATACCTACCGGATAGTTCTGTGAGTTCTGTGACAATTTTCAAATACCCTACCGGATAGTTCTGTGAGATCTATGACACTTCCGATACTCGACCGGACACTTTTGTGAGATCTGTGACACTTCCAATACCCTACCGGACACTTCTGTGAGTTCTGTGACAATTTCAAATACCCTACCGGATAATTCTGTGAGATTTGTGAAACTGCCATACCCTACCAGAGACACTTGTACTTCTGTACGCGGAATAATATAATCTGGGTCAGGCCCACCCAAACTTGAAGCGCACGTTTTCAATTTGCGGAGTAGAAATCACGCGTTACTCGTACACACACACACACGCACACCATCTCCCTTGGCCAATTCGTGTGAGATCACCACTTCCACCACGCACGCTCAGTAGCGTGGTGGAAGGT